GGGTATTTCATTTAGAAAAACACAACTTTGATACTTTTAGGGCTTTTGGGACACTCTGTACATTACAAAAATATTTTTAAAATGTGCACCCTTTAGGCGTCTGTGGATTCATCAAATAATAGTTTGCAAAAAACAAACGGGCTACCCGCAAACGTCCGTGCCGTATAGCGTGAATAACCCTGTATAATTTTTTAGTCTAAAAATTAACTAACTGTTTTGGATGATAACGAAGTTCAATATAACGACTACATAACGCTACTAATAAGTATTTTCCTTTTCTAGTGATACTAGCGGGATCGAAAGCAGCTGAAGGAGTATCAGCGGCAGACATGGCGAAGCGACTTCAAATTGAGCAATATAAAACCCAAATGTTGCGAAATTTAAATACTTTTGTCTCTCGCGAAAGGTTAGTTGTTCATAACTTGCCCGCAACGTGGGACGATAAGAAGCTAAAAGCCTTGTTTCAAAAGCATGCTGGAAACGAAGCTGTGGTACGGGAAGCCCGCATCATGCGAGACATGCGGAACGTAAATGCGCAGGGTGTTGGCCAATCAAAACAGTTTGGTTTTGTTGCATTCACAAGGCACGAGCATGCGCTAGCAGCTTTGCGGTCTTTAAACAACAACCCAAATATATTTTCCGTGACTCACAGACCCATAATATGCTTTAGTATTGAAAGCAAGTCAGCCCTAAAGGCGAAATTAAAGCGACAAGAAAAGTCTCGACTTAAAAACCCCAAATCTACTGATTTTGACCCAACTGCAGTAGAAAAAGATCAGCCTGGTTCTTATGCCAATGGTGACGAAGATGTGCAAACCTATGCGGGAATTACAGCGAAGCACGGAGTAATTCAGAAAATGAGAAGCAGGTACAATCTCAGTCAGCAGGCCAAGTTGCACTACGAGACAATAAAAAATGAGAAAAAGATCAAGAAATTGTCTAAGAAGAGCCTGAGCGAACGAAAGAAAGACTTCACAAAACAACCGCGACAAAAAGTAAATAAAAAGAACCAGAAGGATAATTTCTCGGAACTGGTTAATAACTATACGAAAACTATAAGCAACGCCCTAAAAGCTCCAAACAAGGCAAAATGGTTTGATAGGGAATAATATCTTATCTAATACAAAATGTAGACTTAATAAATTTATTTGTAAGCTTTTGGAGTCTTATTAATACTTCTCTAAATACCTAGGCTCTCAAGCGACCAACTTCTTTAAAGGTATATGTTTATTTTAAGTAGAAGTGCTCTTCCTGCAAGCCCGCATGTATATGTAAATTGCTTACTGATATCTTCCACTTCGTCACACTGTATATCGCCTCATCTACAATGAAGATTCCTACCAGAGTCCTTACCTGTCAGATGCAGATGCTCTCTATTGGTGTAATTTTTGTTGGCACACGAAAAGTTTCAATTTGTATCAGGAGAGCAGAATGTTTAAGGAGGTAGCGAGCAAATATCTTGAGCAGGAGTTTAGCGTTACGTTAGCGTATAAATTTGTCAAGATAAAATTGGGTGTTCCCTGAAATAAAGTTCAAAACATCTTTTTCATAAAAACTTATTTTAGGATGGTAATGTTATAAAAATCTACAGAGGAAATGCTTTAATTTTCGAAATACAGCATGACAAGTAAACAGGTTTTGATTTTAGATATATACGTTTTAAAATAATATAAGGAAATATGTTAAGATTATTTGCAGCAACAAAACTGGCCAACTTTTGATGAAATTTGCGATATTTATTGAATGATCAAATTGGTATATACATCGTTTATGCCTATTTGCATAAATATCGAAAACAAAATAAATATTGTTTATCTTGAATCTACGAAACAAATTTACATGAACAAGAAAACAAGAATTGATATGTAAAATCTTTCACAGTATTAAAGGTCATTTCACAAATATTGCCGATTATCAACATTGGAATGACGTTAAATGGTGAGTGCTTCTTCAAAATAAAAAATTAGGTAGTGAAATACAAACGTTCAATTATTAAGTTCTGAATGTGATTGAATTATTGCATAAAAGCTACCACCACTCGTTAATATAACCGAAAGATCTTTCTTTTATCGCTTGAAACTCATGTTCGTGCCATTTTGAATGTAAAATTTGTGTAAGTAAATTTTAATTCAATAGGAAATATTGAAAACGTTTTCGGCGTCTATGGAATTATATCAATTGCAATTGTTTGCACCCCTATTTACACCATTTAATTAGGTTAACCTTAACTACGTTAAACTAAGATTGGACTGAAATTTATTAAAATAATCCCATAAAACCCAAACAGGTGAATCTTTTGTTCCATTCTGACGTGTCCCAATATACTTCGATTGCATTTAAATGTTAGATCTTGAAAAGGCATAATGCACAATTGTTATCATATTATTTTCCATTCTGGGTCAGTGTGAAATTCAAATTTGTTCTATGAGCTCAAATGAACAAATTTGAGGTTTCAAGACAGCAAAGACCTAAAAGAAGCTAATATTTCCCAATTATGAGTTTGAATGAATTTTAAATCGGATCATGGCGATGTTTCTCTCATCAGTCTCGCCGAAACGTTATGGAATAAACAATATAATTTTTTTTTTATTTCACACTGACCAAAACCTAGGAAAGAAAAGAATATAATAATTACCCGCAGTCAGGAAAATAGATCAAAATAATGCACAATGTAACAATGATACCCTGCTCTCAACAAAAGTATATATTACCTCTACAGACAGGAGCTGGCCTCTTCCTAAAACTAGATACTTTAACAATAGATTGACGTACCAATATTTTTTTGACACAGTAGTAAGTACACCTACTACAGAAATAAGCTCCCTTCGAATTAAAATGGTATATATTCTTAAAGGTGAAGGTGGAGGTCTAAATAATTATTATTATACACTAAATCAAAAAGATTACAAATGGTAAAAGGCGATCACCAGACCTCGACAATAACTAAAACAAATTCACTCGCCTTCTATGTCACATCTATCTCGGTTGCAAACCATTACTTTTAATCATAATTTGATGACTTCAAAAACAAAGCAAGTTAAATTATTTATTAGAACTATGATGTACCACTTATAAACTAATTCTTGGTTTGCCTGTTCTTCATTCTACGGGAAGGTTCTCGGCAATCTCTCCACCTGCGGAGTCTGAAAGTAACACCTCTTGATCAGGAATGGGGTCGACTTTCTCATCAGCAGCTTGAGTTGCGGGAAAATCAATTTCCTGTCCACAGTCGTCTATTTCGTCACGCAAAGGAGTGCCACCACCTAGAAGTTCTGTTAAATTAATAACTCCAAGGAAAGGTTAATGCAGGGGCGGATCCAGCTTTAAAGTCAGGGGGGGGGGTATGAATAAAAATACAGTATTCTATAAAATTAGAAAAATGATCGTCGTTTTGTGCAAGGGTGGCGCAAGATTATTGAAAAATTTCATGTTTTCCGTCCCGGTTTGCATGTTTCTCGGAAGCAAAATGAGCAAGAACGTTCGTTTTTACATCATTCCAGAGATAACTAAATGGCCTTTATTCGAAGTTTCTCAAGAACCATTCGAGCCACAGAATTCGTTTTGGCATCGTTGGA